TACTACATGTAGACCTTTCTTAGATTTGTTCATTTCGTGATGATATCTTCAATTCTCTAATTTTGGTGAATATTTTGGTCATTTTTGGTAGAAAGTGATATTTTCGACTTCATGTTAAAAACTGTAAGTCCGATTGCTTTGATACTATACATATTGTTCATTTTCTAATTATGTCTTCAGTTCTTTAATTGAAATGTGCATTGCTAACAGCGGAGCTATCTCAGTCGATAGGCTGCTTGTATTACATATATAGGTACTACATGTGGACCTCTTTCAGATTTGTTAATTCCGTGGTGATATCTTCAATTATCTAATTTTGATGATTATTTTTGTCATTTTTGGTGAAAAGTGATATTTTTGAATTCTTGTTAAAAACAACAAGTCTCATTGCTTTGGTACTATACATATTGTTCATTTTCTAATAATATCTTCTGTTCTTTAATTGAAATGTGCATTGCTAACAGCAGAGCTATCTCAGCCAACTGGCTGCTTGTTTTTATTTTCATACTGTATTTTGATCTGCAAAGAAGTGCATGTGAACTAGAAATCGACATATACTGAATCAATGTAACTTATTTTGACTGTAGAAACACCTATGTAATTTACGTATACACACACACTGCTAATAGAGCAAAATATAAATGCAATATACATGTATAACAAAATAGAAAAAAAAATATTGAAACCTATACTTGCATCTGATTTTAATTGAATTGGATCTGACATGGCTTCAAGTCATTTCAAGAAATTTATGTGGCTTTCAAAAAAAAAACACTTGTTGAATTTCATGATATGGTAGCTTGTTTTGCTGCAGGTTTCATCTAATCTGAGTACGCCTGATCAGTTTCTGCTATATGTGAATTTGAATATTTGCTGAACATCTTTCAGTGCTACATTGTACTAAAAACAGTCGAAATACAAACTTGTTTTTCTGCGTTGTATTTTGTACTATATTTTGATCATTTTAGTATAATTATATCGCTAATTGTTCTATTTCTCATGCCACAATCGATACAGCACCTTCCCCCCCCCCCCCATTGTTCACTGGCTAATTTTCACATTTGTTAAATTTTCACTTTTGCTGAATTTTCACATTTGCCAAATTTTCACATTTGCTGAATTTTCACATTTGCTAAATTTTCACTCTATATTATGTACAGTCGTTGGTGTCAGGATCTAAGTAAAAGCCATTATAATAATCACCATTATCATCAGATGTTTAGAGAAAAGTTGCAAAAAATAAGTTTTCATACATTTTTATCTAGGATTTATGGAGGGAAGCGAAAACGTATCCATTATTCTCCCGTTTAGCTGATATGAGGTCGTACGTTTTCATGTGTATAAACCAGACTGCTGAGCTGGAAGAACTGGTTGACGAGAAACGTAGACTATGTGATGTAAAACCATTCCGCCCAGTATTGAAACTTGCCAACAAAGAAGGAAATAGAAAAGAACAAATACTGAATTCACAGATCAGTGTACTTATAGGAAAAGGTAAGGTGATAAGGGAAGTTTTTTGGAAAAATTCCAATATTCAGTAACTGTAAATATCACTTGAGATGCCTAACAGGGTTTTCTTAAAATGTTGTCTTGTGAACGCCATTAAATCAAAATTGTGAAACTTGACGCATATGAGGTCCATGCATTAATTAAAAAGTTTTTTCTTTGGTAAGACAAGATCTTGCAGTTGTTACATGACTATTGATAATTACTGAAATATTTGTGTTTTCTGATTCAACTAGCCTTAAACATTGTGTAAATATTCATCAGTTCCATTATTTTTCATATGGTTTTTATTTGGGTTTAAAAAATCAATAAATTTACTAATTGAATCAGTGCTTATGGCTTTGCCAGTGTTTTGAATACGTGTAATATCAGACATGCTACAAAAGTACCTCCCAGTTCTATCTTTTTAGCTCTGCTGTCGACTTACTTTGTTGAGCGGAGCTTATCATATGAGTAATTGTCTGTCGTCGTCTGTGTCAATGTTTTACTTTTCCGACTTCTTCTTGAAAACTACAAGCCTGAATGCTTTGATACTTGGTGTATATGTACCTTGGGTAGACCTCTCACAGATTTGTTAATTTCATGATGTTATCTTCAATTCTCTAATTTTGGTTAATATTTTTGTCATTTTTGGTAAAAAGTGATATTTTTGACTTCTTGTTAAAAACCGCAAATCCAATTGCTTTGATATTACATATATAGGTACTACATATGGATCCCTCTCAGAATTGTTCATTTCGTGATGATGTCTTCAATTCTCTAATTTTGGTGAATATTTTTGTCATTTTTTTTATAAAAAGTGATATTTTCGACTTCTTGTAAAAAACAGCAAGTCCAATTGCTTTGATATTACATATATAGGTACTAAATGTGGACCTCTTTTAGATTTGTTCATTTTGTAATGATATCTTTAATTCTCTAATTTTGGTGAATATTTTTGTCATTTTTTATAAAAAGTGATATTTTCGACTTTTTGTTAAAAACCGCAAGTCCAATTGCTTTGATATTACATATGTAGGTACTAAATGTGGACCTCTTTTAGATTTGTTCATTTTGTAATGATATCTTTAATTCTCTAATTTTGGTGAATATTTTTGTCATTTTTTATAAAAAGTGATATTTTCGACTTTTTGTTAAAAACCGCAAGTCCAATTGCTTTGATATTACATATGTAGGTACTAAATGTGGACCTCTTTTAGATTTGTTCATTTTGTAATGATATCTTTAATTCTCTAATTTTGGTGAATAGTTTTGTCATTTTTTATAAAAAGTGATATTTTCGACTTTTTGTTAAAAACCGCACGTCTAATTGCTTTGATATTACATATATAGGTACTAATTGTGGACCTCTTTCAGATTTGTTAATTTTGTGGTGATTTCTTCAATTATCTAATTTTGATGATTATTTTTGAATTCTTTTTGAAAACAGCAAGTCATAATGATATCTTCTGTTCTTTAATTGCAATGTGCATTGCTAACAGCGGAGCTATTTCAGCCGACAGGCTGCTAGTTTAAGTTTTTTAATAATACAATTTTATTTCCTTTAATTAATTAATAAAATTAATTATTAAAAGTTATATTTCAGGAATATAAATAAATAAAATTAATTATTAAAAGTTATTTCAGAAATATAATGGACTACCTGTAATTATATGCTTTGTTTTTCACGATCTCTTACTCTATTCTAAAACTACCATATAATATACTGAATAATTACTGAGGACTAAATTACTTGATACCATTTTCTGTATATATAGAGCAGCTTCCTCTTACCGGTAATTTTAAATGTGACATATTTGATGGATCAAGTATCCATGTATAGGAGGAAATTAATCAAATTACTGATGTCAAAACACAGTCCAATAACTTAAAGATACGCTGATGATCGAAAAGTTAACAAAATGCTATGGACTGATTTCGATGTTTTTCTTTTTTATTTTTATAAACTGAACTTTCAGAAATGAATTTTAAAATAAGCGTTCACAGTTTCAAAATTTTTGAATTCAGTCATCAAACCAATTTACTAATGGCCATATTAGTTTTGTTAACTGATTCTGTGTGTATCTATACATGCATGTAAAATACACTTCATTAATCTTGAGATATGTCAATGATTAAAACATAACAAAATGATATAGAGTCTGTGCATGTGTCAGATGGTCGTAGCGTGTCATTGTTTACAAACAAGCGTCTGCCCATTAAATTTTGCGTTTTAGTGTGTGTTGTTATTGTCATTTGGGACTCAATTCCTGCGCATGTGCAGGTGCAGGTGACGACCCTCCCGTTTTAATTATTATGAACTCGCTGAACGTTCTCAAATGAGTTTTAAAATAAATAATTTCAAAGTTCTGCACAACATACAAAAAACGGATTTAACCGATTACCATAATTCTTCCTGTACAAAGTTTTTTCTCTGTTTTGGCTCAATTAGACAGGCTTTCTCATTGGTTGCAGCTCTCAATCAGCTGTTTTTTAGCTCCGCTGTCGACTTTGTCGAACGGAGCTTACCATATGAGTGATTGTCCATTGGCGTCCATTGTCGTCCACGTCAGCTTTTTTCTTTTTCGACTTCTTCTTGAAAACTACAATTCTGAATTCTTTGATACTTTGTGTATATGTACCTTGGGTAGACCTCTCTTAGATTTGTTCATTTCTTGATGATATTTTCAATTCTCTAATTTTGGTGAATATTTTTGTAATTTTCGGTAAAAAGTGATATTTTTCGACTTCTTGTTAAAAACCGCAGGTCCAATTGCTTTGATATTACATATCTAGGTACTACATGTGGTCCTCTCTCAGATTCGTTCATTTCGTGATGATTTTGTTATTATCTAATTTTGATGAATATTTTTGATAAAAAGTTATATTTTCAAATTCTTGTTGAAAACAGCAAGTTCGATTGCTTTAATACTATACATATTGTTCATTTTCTGATATCTTTAGTTCTTTACTTGAAAAGTGCATTGATAACAGTCTCAGTCGACAGGCTGCTAGTTTAAAAATATAGTAAAAAAGATGTGGGTTAATTTGTTGACAGGTTTACAAAAGTTGAGTTAAGCGTTCATTTGGTGAACAACATTGACCTTACTGAGTAAATGTTTAATACAACCGCATTGTATATATTAAACTTCAGGTCTTCACGAGTTTGAAACAATGAAGAATCAAGAAGTGAATGACTTCCGTGATAATATGAGGAGATTTGCCGAAAACCTAGCCATTGAGAGATCTACGAAGACTTGGGAGGAAAGAGCCATGTACATTTATCCACCGGAACTCGAACCAAGTATAGAACTTCCTGAGCATATTCACAAAGCATTTAATGATAATACTTCCAATGTTGTCAATGTTAAATTTGATGAGACGGGGGTAAGTTTGTTTGTTTTTTTTAAACAAATTTCATACTTTTGAAATAATTAAAAAAAAAAATTTCCAATTTTAATTAGTCTCCGTTCGGACACAGATATATAGATGTATTCTAAATGGCCAACTGGCCAAAAATCATCATAATCAAGCATCACCATGTTCTAACTATATTACTATAAAAAAAATACTATTTATCTTAAATTTGATAACTAACGGGGACTGTGCCATGCATGGCTTGTTTAATACAGGTTTGTTTTACTGTTGCAGCAACATCTTTGCATATCCCTAGTCGATCATTTCGTCAACTAAGTGCCTTGGTAGGTCGCAAATTGTGTGAATTTTTTTTACCCTTATCTGATTATGTCAATGTAAAAGTACATGCGACTGGCAGGATAAGGGTTCAAACAGAAATGTTGGCACACTAAACCATTCAGCGTAGTGGTTTGCAATGTTGCAAACTAGTGAGGCAAGTAGCTGACTGTTTACTGACTAATGGTATTTGAGAGATGTTGTGCACACAGTCAATGGAATTTTTTAAATAATCAAGGTTAATTAAGTTAATTTGTTAGATTGTTAGACTAGTTTGCGAATAGTAAATCATTACATGTATGACTATTGTAGCTTTTAACCCTTT